CGTTACGCCAGGCCTCCTGCCCGGCGCCCCTGTGACCCCAATGACAGATGCTATGAGTGTGGTGAGAAAGGCCACTATGCTTATGATTGTCACCGCTATAGCCGCCGAAGGAGGAGCAGGTACGTGCGGGGCCAGAGTGGCTGGGTTGCTTCGCCAGTTCGCTCTTGTGTAGCTCTTGTTAGCAAAGAACAGAACGTTACGCCAGTTTAAACTCTTAATGTTGTAAGCCGACAGGTGTATATCACTTTTTTTTTTTTGCTAATACATACAACTGTTAATATCTTAATAATCAACCTGGTCAAAACCTTTCAGGTTTCTTCGTTTGAGTCAGTCGCCTTGATTCAGAATGTCACGAGCCTTAAGATTTCATGCTGAGGCGCCTTGCAAATCCGACACTTAAGATCCTCCTAGACCTTGAGGTGATCAGCATAAGAGGCCAGATCCCCTCGAGCCATCTACACGTAGCTTCACCTTATTCTTTAAGGGCAGAAAATTTGAGACGGTGATCGCCGTAACAGTAAATTTGGCTTTCAATTGGGGCCCCCCTCCGGTTTAGAAAGAGGAACACCAGATTGACCTCATTCCCACCTAGAAAAATCTTCTTGCGTCAATCAAGCCTCACCCTGGCTCATTGGGCTGTCAGTTTGATCGTCGTTAGATTGAAGAGAACACCTAGATGCAGCGATCGGCTATAGATACTTCTAGATCGTCTAGATCTGCTAGACCTTGGGCCAAAGAGGGTCGACCTGCAAACTTGCAAGGTTTATTTTAAATACGCATTACAGTGTTTTCTATTCTAATGTAATTCTGCAATGTAATTCAGCTTTTAACATTTTTCTAGGTAGTAAAATGCTCAAGACAAGTAGGCCCAGAGATTTTTCCAACTGACAGATGCTAGTGGTGTGTTTTTGTTGGTTTGGTTTGATATTGTTGGTTTTTGTTTGTTTATTTTCTTTTTTTTCCCCCATTTTTTCTTTCTTTTTTTTTATTTTTCTCTTTAGTTGTCTGAAATCAGTTTTGACTTCAGCAGGGCCTCACGTGCAGCGGTTGCTGCAGCTGTTTCCTGATACCTGTTTTCTCTAACCTAAACCCAGGTCCCGGTCTCGCTCCCGTTCAAGGTCCCGTGGCAGGAGGTATTCTCGGTCACGCAGCCGGAGTCGTGGTAGGAGGTAGGGTTCTGCCTCTTGTGTTTTCATTCTTGTTCTTACTCCTCCGTCTGCCTCACTCCTTTCTGTAGTCCATGTGAAAAGCACCTCGCAGTAATTCTGGTTCGTGTTTTCCCCTGTGTTTTGCAGGTCAAGGTCAGCTTCCTACCGCAGGTCTAGGTCAATCTCTCCTCGTAGATACAGATCCTTTTCACCCCGCAGGTCTCGCTCCGGTTCTTTAAGGAGATCAAGGTATGTGTTCTCCATTAAGTCCCTAACTATTTTCAAGGGAAGATAACTGCCTACTCAGTTTATATTTTCCTAGTGCGTGCGTTTGCAGGAACTTTCATGGTGTTAGATCCCTGATAGCTAATCTGAATGCTTTTTTTGAAGTTGGGAATTTCAGCGTATGATTTTAGAACTGTTACTGTTGTTTCTGAGGTTTGTTTACATTGTGTGAGTTACAGCCTTGATCTACAGTTAAAGGTTTCTAACTTCAGCTTCAAGGATACGGGGATTAATTATGCTTAGTCCATTAGGGCAGTGGGATTTCTTGTATATATGGTAGTACTGGCCAAATGTACTACAGCTTTCTAATAATAAAAGTTACTTCTGCAAAACGAATGGTTCCAACAAAATTCTCTGAAGTCAATGTCATAAGTGTCAAAGAATACACAGTTTTATGAATCATGTAGTAGTAGTTGAGCTTTCACTGCTTTTTTTCCTAGATCTAGGTCCAGATCACGCTCCAGGTCCCGGTCTGTTGTATGGCCTCGAAGCAGGTAAGATACTTGTTGTAATTAAATTAGGTTGTAGTTTGGGGGTTTTGAGTAGTTTTGTTTGTTATTTCTTCCCTGATGGAGTGTGGCTGGAAGGTGTTTAGAAGGTTATGCAGCATAGCAACATTCACACTTAACATTAGTAATTTATGCCTTTTCACAGATGGACGTAGTGGTCAATTTCTTACAATAAACAGGAGTTCGTTTTGCTTGTGGCTTCTACCTAGTTTATGTAGCCATAAACAAAGCACATATGATTTAGGGTCTTTGGAGAGAAGTGCTGAAAACTATTTAATACCTACTCATGTAGAGAATGCTTCACCTTGTGTCGTGCTGAAAAGGCAGCTTGGGTTTTTCTTGGCATGTTCTTTTGTGAATCCCAAATGCTGGAGGGGGGGGAAGGTGGTGAGAAGGTTGCAGCTATTCACTGGGCTCTTGCTTACAGCTTTTCAGCTTTGTCAGTTCCAGTTCTGGGAGCTGGGTAAAGTAAATTGCTGTAGTGTTGAGAATTACACTACCTGTGGTAGGATGCTTGACTTCAGAGGTTTGGGGGGCTGAGTGAACAGGACCATGAGCCCTAATGCCACAGGCAGTGTTTTGATAGGACTTCTCTGACACTTAGCCTTGGTTTTGGGGATCTGGATGTTTTCCATGGTGAAATGTAAGTTGAGGAAAATGGGTATAGATTAAATGCTCCTGCATTATTTCCCTCTATTGTTTGTGATAAGTCTTAGTTGGAAGAATGATGAAAGAATAGGAAAAAAAACCGTGATGGTAAGTTGGAAGAAGTTGTCGTTTGTGTTGCATTAGAATGGTGGAAGAGAAATACTTCTTAGGGGTCTGCCTGCTAGTTGGGGCTTGCACATTGAGCCTTTAAGGAGGCGATAGAATCATTAAGGTTGGAAAAGACCTCTGAGATCATGAAGTCCCACCATGGCACAATGATTACAGTTACTGTAGGTGTCCTGGCCTGTTCCTCGTAGAGGCTTGCAATGCAGGAGGTGACTAGTCAGGCTCTAACTGCACGCTGCTGCTGTGGAGGAGTCTGGATACTGCTGATGTTGGTTGGTGACGTCTGGGGCAGTCATGTCCCTGCACGAAAGGCTTGATGCTCTTACTGAAATCCCTGAGCAACGCCAGCTTTGCATAGTTCTGCAGTTCTGAGAAACAGTGGTCAGGGCTGGAGTTAGGGAGGTGTGAAAGCTCCAGCCAGTGCTGGTCTGCTGCTAATACAGCAAAACACCAGTAGGTTACTGGTGCTGCTTCTGGAGTGTTCCATCTGCAGCCCTGCTTTGTTGCTGTGCCTCTCAGAAGGAGGATTTGCCAGCAGTTCCTGTAGGAAAATGATGCTGTTGTATTTTGTAGCACAAGCACAGTGAGGGAGCACACAAGCTCTAGTTAGTTGTGAGCAACTCCATCCTATGTGGTAACAAAATTACTGGTTATACTGTTAGGAACTGTGAGGGAGGGTGGGTCAGCGTAGTGACCAGGAAGGTTTCAGAGCAGTGGCACATAGCTCATCTAACTAATGTCCACGGTGTCTAGGTTGTTCTTTTGTATGTTAACAGGCCAGGCAAAGGTGAATCTTGATTAAACCAGTTCCGATCAGAAATTAAATAAGTTTGTTTCTTTTTGGCCCAGTCTATTAAAACAACTGATTATCTTGAGCACTGGGCTTTCTAATGTTCAATAATGCCACATAGCTGAATTCTGACATTCCAGGGGAACAAATATTTTCTAAGTAACAGCAAATACTTGAGTTGTTGCAGTAACATAAACATGGGAGGAAAGTCTGATTAGATTTTAATTCACAGGGTAAATTGTGAATATTTTGCACAGTAGCCAGATACTGAAAACTGAAATGCTGTTTGCATTGGGATTACTGATGAATAAGCTGTTACGATACTTGAATAAAAATGGCACTGGGAATTTGGTTTGAAGAATGCATCAGCTCTTCAGCACACATGCTTTCCTGTGACTAATTCCAGCTTGTTAATGTGCTATTAAAATATTTTTCGAAGATGACACTTGAAACTGTTCCTCCCTTTTTGGAAGGGATACTTGCAGGCAGAGGGAGTTAAGTCTGGGAGCCTGGCACAAGGTCTTCTGTTTTGTGAAAGGAGTAGGTGTAGCTTTGCTGAGAAGCTTCTTGTGCTTGTACTCTTGTCTTCTGATAAGTGGGATCTCTGGAATAAACTGAAGGATTCTCGTGAAACATCATGGAAGGCCTGCAGAACCAGAGCCTTCCTCTCTGGTTTGTGATGTTATGTAGTATGAATTTGCTGTCCCAGCCAATTTTCATTGTGTGTGCATGCCACTGGCTGCTTTGCTGAGCTTTATTTTTCTCCTGTTGTAGGTCTGGGTCCCATGGTAGATCTAAATCTGGCTTACCTGCTAAAAGGTGAGCGTATGAATACAAGAAGCACTTAGGGTTTGGTGGTGTTTTTCATTTCTTTCTTTGGTGTTTTTTTTGTGATTCAAAATCTCATTGGACCAGTATTTCAGCTGCATGTTGAAAAGTTTTTGTTTTGGTTTTGTTGTTTGTTTTTTTTTAATAGCTGATTTAAATTTTTTTCTATGCATTATTTTTATGTAACTTTTGTTTTTTATAGCTGTTTTTTGTGGGACAGTAGGCAATTCTTCCAGAAGGATTCTGTTTAACCAATTGTGACAAAAACTATTTTTGACAGGATTTGGGGTGTATCTTAATTTCAACTGTTTGTCGTTCTGGGTCCTCCTGACTCTGCTCTGTTTGATCCACTGCAGGATGGCTGTGATCATTTTGTAGCTGCTTTGAAGCTGTGTGTTGCTCTTTGCCCCAGGGCTCTGGCTTTTGGCAGCTTTCCTTCTCAACCGTAGCTTCTTGCTTAAAGCAAGGAGAGTATACTTGATAGCAGCAGCATTAAGGGTGGTGTCTTTTAATGTGTGACTGGTCTTACTGGTTTTAAATTGTCCACAGTGGTTACTGAGTGTATTCAACTTACCATGTTGATTTATTTTTTTTTAACAGTCGCTCAAAATCCAGATCACCATCTCCAAAGAGAAGGTAGGAAACTGGAGCGTGCCGTGCAGTTAAACAGAACTTGTGTCCTGAGTGGCTGCTGTGGAAGCTAACTTGTGCAAGGACAAAAGCTTGATGCTTTTAACTCATCTTCATTTGTGCACTGTGAAAGATGAATTGTTATGGGTGCTTCCTATTATGAAAAGATGAAGTTTTCTGGGCATTTCCTACCATTGGTAGTCAGAACTTCATGATAATAACTCTAAGGTAATCCACTTTAATGAAAATTTGAAGGGTGACAGAAAATGTGGGCAGGTAAGAATCAACTACCCCAAAATTTCTGAGGAATTTAGGAACTGGGGAAGAAGGGAGTAATTTAAGATAGGGAACAAACCATGAATACAGGGCTGGATTAAAGCCTGCTGGTGGCTCCTCACAGCTGGCTCTCAGTTGCACAGCTGTCAGATTTTATTACACCTTGTGAAGAAAGAAGCAAGTTTTCCTGTGTAACCAGAGAATTATGTACAATTATTTGGATTATTTATAGAGTCTGAGGTAGTGCCTTGTGACTAGCCCCCAGGTGGAACCAGGTAGGTTACAGCAGTCAGCCAGGGTGCTTTCTGTGCAGGCTTGATGTCTCACCCAGCTGGTGCAGCTGATGCCTCTTATTTTGCGTGCCCTTCTCAAGCTTAAAGCAGTTCTGGTATTTAGGCACCTCTGTAAATAACACTTTCCTCACTGTTCATGAACTGTAAATGAAAATAGGTGTGGGGAGGGGGACCCTGAGCAGAAGCAGCCTGGGGTAGCATGCAGAGTTTCTGTTGGTTTTGCTATAGGAGTTGCTCTTAAATCTTTTTCTTTCCCTTTCAGTCACTCACCATCAGGAAGCCCTTGAAGGAGTGCAAGTCCTGAAAGAATAGATTCAAATTAAAAAGTTAAAGAAGAAAATTTATTTTGTTTACATTATTATAAGGGATTTTGTGGAGTCTTTGTAAATGTAAGGGCTTAGTCCTCAAAGGCTGTTTCTATCGACTAACAATTGGCATGAACCTGGATATTTTAAAGGTCTTATGAGTAGACTAATGCAAAATGTTGTTGTGTTAATGTTCTGTGATCTGGAAATTTTGGGCTTTTTTTTTTTTATTGGTGCATTGAAATAAACTGCATTTCTAACTAAGAGAGATTTTGTGATAACCCTGCTCTTTCTGTTAACATTTGGGTAGCTGAAGCAGGTCACGTGCTGCTGTGGTGCAAAGCAGGAGGCAGGGTCGTGCAGGCAGCTGTGAACTGAGTGTAGGGCAGCAGCCAGTCAGTGGCTGTTCTGCAGCGTGTGCCTGGTGTGGGACTTTGTTCCTACAGAGCACTGGCAAGAGTGAAGAGTTGCCAGTAGCAGCTGTCATTCCTGGTGCTTTGT